ATAGTTACTGCGCTAAATGGGAGTTAAGCCAACGTAATAAAGAGCAATGACTCCCATTCCGAATTGTTCAAGTCAATTAAAAGGATTTTATGGAGCCAAACCAAGCGTTTTGGAGGATGAGCTGTCTAGATAGAGGGGTTGTAAGAGCAGTGAGTAAAGCAAGTGCAGGCAGTGTGAAAAGCTGAGAATACCCCCAGATTACTCAGCCCGATGGGATGCTACACTCTCCACACTTATTGCTGGAGGAAGAAAGAAGGGAGTTTGGATAAACTTGGGGCACCACATATCCAGTGTTACAAGTGGAGGAAATGACAAGATGAAAAAGAGGTGAGGGGGGGAAGGCGTGTGTCACCAAGTTGTAGTCCTTCCATCTCTCCTTCCATGTTAGACAAAGGCATGTAAACAAGGATGCTTAGGGGCTCGTGAGTGTTCAGGCACTGGGTAACGTGTACCCAAAATACAGCCCCACCCACGTTCCTTGTTAACAGAACCCTGATTTTGTTTGTAGTTCTCTGACCAGCCCTGGGTGACAAACTTGCATTCTCAGCCTCCCTTGCAGCTAGAGGGATGCATTTCTAACCATTGCATAAGGGAATTTTTGGGAAAATTTTGTTATCAAAGGGAACAGATTTGTCTGGTATTGTCCTTTTCCTCCTCTTTCTTTGGACCTTGATTAGGTCATTAAAGCAAAAGCTACAGCTCTAGCAGTCTTCTTTTGACCCTGAAGAGACAAGGCCGAGAATATCACGGAGCCTTGACACCATGGGGTGCTCCCAGGCCTGGCTCCTCCAGACTTGCCCTGTGAGACAAACTCCTATTTGTTTTTTTTATTTTCTTGCAGCTGCATGCATTGCTAACTGATAAGTAAAAGGTTTGTGAAGAACCTTAGTGAGAGGTAGAATTGAAAAAGGAAGTTAGTGCCATACTTGGGATCCTTGATTTTTGGGTTATAATATTTGGACTTGAATCTGTAGCCATTTAGCTGTCCATGGACATTGAAGATCATGATCAAGCCTGTGGTTATGTTCATGAGGGATAGGGAAGAGATACCGGATATTGCCTACTAAGGGGGTAGTAGAAATTGAGGAATCAGATTTATTAAAGACATACTTGAAAGTACAGCTGTCTCAATTCAGTGATTGATATGGGAAACTGAGGGTTGGAAGAATGTTGTGAGGATGATAAATGACCTTG